GTTCCATTAATATAAAACTATCTTATCTGAGGCGTGAATCGTTTCGGTACGTGGAATAGAAATGGAAACGTGGTATGTCATATGTTCTAAAATGTAATACGATGATGATAGATTTATATATATATATTACACTTAAAAATTTAAGATACTTTTAAAGTAATATTCTTTTAATTATTGGACATCCAATAATATATATATATATATATGTGTGTGTGTGTGTGTGTTTGTTTGGGAAGTGTGTTGGTTTTTTGGTTATTTTAGCTTGGCTGGGGCTAAAAAACCTATTTGGGAATGACTTTTTAGTTTTTTTTTACTTTTTATAAGGGAAAGAATGTAATAATTAGAGGTTGGATGTTATATTTTGTCTTATTCGACTAAAAAACCTATTTTGTTTTTTTGTGACTATTTTAGCCAAAAAAATCCCAAACCTCAACTTCCCAAACGGAGACATATATATTTTTCGTTTTTTCGTTTTTGTTTTAGCAAAACTTAGGTTATCTTAGATTTTAATTTATTATATTTGATTTTTTTCCTCTTAAAGTAACATTTAAGGAAATATATTAGAAAAACTTTTAAGGATCATTTTGGATCATTAAATTTATCATTTTGAAACGAAAGTATATCATGTTTCAGAACGGACATACCAATATATAATTCGCTAAGATATTAACGTTTTTTGGTAACATAAATATAAAATCTATTATCAACTTTATATATAAGAGACCTGTTACAAGGCCATAATAAACAGTGTAAAATTTTATAAATAGCTTTGATCACGGATAGTTGCTTTTTTCGATAGGTGAAATTACAGGTGAAGAGAGTCGTAGGCTTCCATCCACAGGCCTTATGAGTGGAAGAAGCAAACAAAGTGATAAGAGATTTTTATGGACAGGTTTTCCTGTCTCTTTCTCTTTCTATCTCTCGGTTACATATCTTAGAAAAAACATGTTTTGATCATATCAAAGAGAACTGTATTGTTACATAGTCCGAAAAAATAATCATAAGAAGAGCTCTTTCTAGATTTATTTTGAGTGTAATCCATATTACACTAAATTGGTATATCTACATCATATATTTATTTTTTATTAATTTTTTGGATTAATTACACTAATAGTCCCTATAGTTTGGGACTGGTATCACTTTGGTCACTGACTTTTCAATTGTGACACATTTGACCCTGAATTTTGAATCTTCATTTCAAATAAGGACAATTGAAAATATCATTAGATTTTTCAAGAATAAAATCGTCAATTTGATAAAATATAAACTAATTTGACAAAAATAAATGTCAAAAAAATATTTTTAATTTTTTAAAAATTATTTTTATCCACCAATGATAAAACTAATAAAAATTACATGATTAATTTTTTAAAACTAATTTTACATGATCATCATCCAAACACATAATAAAAATTAATTTGGTAAAAAAAATAAATAAATGTCTAAAAGATTTATCAATTTTACATAATTTTATTTTTAGTGGGTAGAAATAATTTTTAAAAATTCAAAAATATTTGTTTGATATTTATTTTTGTCAAATTAATTTATATTTTATCAAATTGACGATTTTACCCTTGAAAAATCTAATGATATCTTCAATTATCCTTATTTGAAACAAGATTCAAAATTCAGGGTCAAATGTGTCACAATTGAAAAGTTAGGGACCAAAGTGACACAAACCCCAAACTATGGGGACTATTTGTGTAATTTGCCCTAATTTTTTGGACTAGTTCTCTCAATTTTGTAAATTCTAGCTTTTTCCTAAAGCCAATATGAAAAAGAAAAAAAAATGTTTTATCTATTAAGTGAGCGATACAATACAAGTTAAGATGACTTCAACATTTATGGAGTTGTTTATATTTATTTTATAATTCTTTGTCAATGTATTTGAAGAAGTTTCTATTTATACTTTGAGTCAAAAATATCTCAAATGAAATTCAAGAAAGGCTATTTTTAACTTTTCAATCTAGAAAATATTTATCAAATATAGACAAACACGGTCAGATATGCATACTATTTCATTCTCTTTTTTAATTTTCTTTTTTCTGGATCTATTATAGATAGAGACTGACATAAGCATATCAAAGAAAATAAAAGCAATCAAGTTTGAATTTTTATTTTACAGCTGACATAACCATAAATAGATGACAAGTTTGATTTTACCAACCTATAAAAGGGATGAATAAAACAGCTCAATTCACAAGTCTTTTAAGTTTCAATTTTTTATTAAAAAATTACATTTCAGGTTTCCATCTCCACAATGGCCCATTCTTTCTCGGCTACGGCTGTGGCTTTGGCTTTGGTTGTGGCTTTGGCTTTGGTTTCATGCGGCGCTGAAGGTGCCCGTCCTACTGACACCGATGCGACTGTAGATGTTACAAAATTTGGTGCTAAGCCAGATGGCGAGTCTAATAGTGCTATGGTAAGTTTGAACACAATCAAAATATGTTATTTTTGCTGCAGTTATTAGCCTTCTATTTATTCGTCTAAATTATAACTCACATTATAATGTTCATTGCATGACAGGCATTTATACAGGCATGGAATGCGGCATGCAAATCATCAACAGGGCCATCAAAGCTTATTATCCCACCAGGGCGATTTATGGTAGGGGAGACAATTTTCCAAGGGCCTTGCTCATCAAAACCTGTGACTGTTGAAATTCAGGGAACCATATTAGCAAACTCTGATATGTCTGAATTTACTGGTAAAGAATGTCTCTTATTTCAAGACGTTGATGGTTTGACAATCTTAGGTGGAGGAATTTTTGATGGGCAAGGTCAGTCTGCATGGCAGTATAGCAATTGTCGTTCATCTGATAATTGCAATAGCCCTTTACCAATTGTAAGTTCAAAGACCTTTTAGGTTAATTCTATAGTCCTATAAAAAAATGCACTAAAAAGATCCTCATTTCTATTGGGGAATGCGAAAACCTGAGATACTAAAAATGATTTTATTATCATCTCACCTCATATATTTTGGTGCAGTCTATTAAATTTCAAAAGGTAACGAATGGCGTTGTACAAGATATCAATTTGGTGAATAGTAAAGGTTTCCACATGACAATCACTAGCTGCAACAATTTTGTAGTTGAACGTCTCAATATTACTGCACCTGGAAACAGTCCAAATACTGATGGCATCCATATTAGTCGTTCTAATCAAGTTCGTGTATCCAACTCTGTCATTGGAACCGGTGATGACTGCATTTCTATCGGTGAAGGCTCAACCAATGTAAATATCTCTGGTATTACTTGTGGTCCAGGACATGGCATCAGGTAAAATCCTAAACAAAATAATCTTTCATGAATTCATAGTCCTTTTCTAGTAAATACCAATTATATTTTTCTAAATAAGTGCTTGAATTATCGTCTTTTTCCAGCATTGGTAGCCTTGGAAAAAGGCCAGAGGAAAATAGTGTTAGCGGAATTTTTGTGTCTAACTCTTCCTTAACAAATACAACGAACGGTGTGAGGATCAAAACCTTCCACAATTCACCTAAAATCGAAGCTTCCAACATCACTTTTGAAGATATAACTATGAATGAAGTTCAAAATCCCATAATTATTGATCAACATTACCGGTCTAAGAAGCACTCAACTGGCGGGGTAATAAATATATCTTAGCTCTATACGTCATGACAAAGAAAAATAAGAAAATACAGATAGTAATATATGTATGTGTTTTAGCCAATTTTCATTAGACAATGTTACTAACTATGTTATTAACTAACTTATGTGATTTAGGTATCCCTTGTGAAGATTAGTGATGTTCACTACAAGAATATAAGGGGTAGCTCAATTTCAAATGTTGCAATCACTCTTAGTTGCAGTAGTTCAGTCCCTTGTGAAGGCATCGAATTAGCCGACATTGATATCACCCTTAGCTCCAACTGTTTAAAGAAGTTGTTGCCTCTTTCATCTTCATGCAGCTTTGCTAAGCCAGTCTTCAAGGGTAAACAAAACCCTCCGGCTTGTGAATAAGCCTTTTCGTTTATTGGTAATGTCATTGGCACGTAATTATGACAATTATTGTTATCATAGTTTTTTGTTTTTTGTTTTGGTAAATGTTCTGTAAGTTTGATATTTTCCTTTAATGGAATATGTACTATTCTTTTATTTATGTCTTTGAAAGGAGCTACAATGTACCAATCGACAATAACTATTTCTTATAACACAATTTTTTCAAGATTTTTCATCATCCAGACAATTTCTAGAATGGGAAGAATTGTAATTAGTATGTGGCATTTTAATTTGTTTATAAAAAATTGAATTATGGAATTATTTATCTAATAATCAATATTATGCATCAATTTTTTCCTTGTTGAAGAGAAATGTGGATGTGTAAAAACTATATATAAAATTCACCTCCACTTTGATTCTTTAATTTTGAAAGTATTTTTTTTTCCTTTTCAAACTCTAATGCTATGTAAGAGTGAAATCATATTCTCACAAAATTAAAAATATACAAATTAAATTATGGAAATGAAAACTACACAGATTAAATGATAGTTCACCTAAACTACAGCCTACAGGTATTATGGAGGTATTTAAAATGATTTAAATAAGTTTACGTATTTTATTTTTTATAAAAAGATATGTAAAAAAGTAAAAAGATAATATAACCTAAATAAGTACATTTATATAGATTATTTCAAACACTCTCTTAATAGTGTAATTTACTTAATTTTGTAATTGTTTTTTTTTTACTTTATATAGATTTAATGAATAAATTGGGTCCAATTTCATCAAATTTAAATTTAAAGTCAATATGGGTCAATGTTATATCATCAAATTTAAATTTAAAGTCAATATGGGTCAATGTTATATCAATCTAAACTGTTTCCTAATTGACCAGACAGTTTTGGATGTAGCGGCGAGTCCTCTGAAGCATGCTCCATCATATTCATCGTTCTAGGTTACGATTTTTTTTTGTTTTTACCTTTGCGACAAAGAATGTCAATTGTTAAATGCTCTTCTTGTCCTCGACTGCTCTCTACGATTCTTCTATGAACTGATCGTCACTGACGAAGACGAAACCGATAAATTTGAGATCCTTAGTAGTAGTAAAAAACAAAGTTACGACGATCTTTCCAAAGCAACGTTATATACTATGGAGTTGAAACGACAAACACAACGAATATCCTTTAAAATCAATCACATATCAGAGAAAAAATCAAATCAATCATCGAAAGCTAGAGCTCACAACAATGTCAATGAATGTTACAGAGAGAGAGGGTAGAGAGAGCGTGATTGTTGTGTTGGTTGGAACTAGGGTTTCCACGGAGAAGAGTGGAGTGGCGGCGCTCAGGTGCGCTCTGCGTGACGTTGTACGGACGAACGATGAAGTTTTGGTTCTGATTATGATGGATTCGGAGGGGGATGCATCGACGCCGTTGAATGCCGCAGGTGGTTGTTGTTGTATGGGAGATGAATGGTCTGATCAATCTATATGTGAGGAAAGCGATTCGTATATCAATTTTGTACATGAAGAGATCAATCAGAGAAAGGAATTTTACAGGCAGATCTTTAGACCTTATTATGATAGATGCAAAAGCATTGGAGTAAGTCCTTTTCCCATTAATATAACTTGCCCACAATTAGCCCAACTTTGTAGGGGTTGAGCTCAACTAGTTTGTTTATCGTGCTTGAAAAATCAGCCAACGAGTCAAGTTTTATGAATGATCTTAAAAATCTAGTTCAAACTTGTTCATTTACTTAAAGAATTGAGTTGAACCGAGCTGACGAACAACTCAATTGATCTGCAGCCCTAACTTAATCTAAACTCTGTTATGGGGTCAAACAGAATATACTCATAAAAATATGTAAATAGATTAGATCACAGACAGTTGCTTTTTTTGACAGGTTAAGTTTCAGATGAAGATAGCCACCGGCTTCGAACCACAGGCCTTGGTAGTGGAAGAGGCAAACAACATCGATGCCACTTGGATAGTCATGGACAGGTCCTCTCTCTTGGCACGGGATCATTTGTTTCCAAAAGTCTTATTTCTCTGTTCCAATGCTTTCTCAGCTGCAAGACTACCCAGTAAAATTTTTGTATTTTGAGAGTCTCAACACATCCTGTGACTTAGAATGCATTGAGAATAGAGGAATAAGAATTTTGTAGACACAGGATTGTTAGCCCCTCTTTCTCCATTCTTACCATAGAAAAAAAATTTGGCCCGTAATTCTTTATTTTCAATTTTTTTGTCCCCTACCCCAATGCACTTCTAACCATTGAATTATGGCTTTAGATTCATGTGCTTGAGTTTCCCACTTAATCCAATAGATGAGAGTGTATTGATAGAGGGACAGCGATTTGGGAATTGGATGACTTAAATCCAGTATATAGCATTAGATGACTGAATTCATATGAAGATAGTTTCCTTTATTTACAGGTTCTTTTCTAGGGACCAAACTTTCCCATTGAATGGAACCCATTGCAATGTGGCTTTGGTGAGTGGTGATGACGACATTATTACACACAAGAATTTGCCTCTCCATGGAGCTGAAACTTCAGTAGTTCAAGAGCTAAACCCCAATCCAAAAGCTTCAAAGCCAGACAAGGGATTAGTCTTACAAGAGAAGTCAAACACAAATTATCCCTTGCCTGTTTCTCAAATCGAATATAGACACTATTTTCCTTCTCTTGCTAGTATGATCACAGAAGTTGAATCGTCATCAAACAAAAGCATTAGTCCAAGAAAGGTGGAGTTGCCCGGGAAAGGCTCTGTTTCGGATGATGATAATATGTCCTCCAGTGGATTTTCTAAAGTCAATCTCGTGGTGAGAATGCCATTGCAACTAAGCTGGGCTGAGGTTGAAGAAATAACAGGTGGGTTCACAAGAATGACTTGCGTGGATGAGAATGACAGTTGCAAGTCATATTGTGGGTATTTAAGTGATCATCACTGCAGAGTTCTGGTTAAAAGATTCACCAGACAATTTGACTACAATGTCGAAGCTGAAAAGAAAGCAGCCTTGACTCTGCATCACAAAAATATACAGGGGTTGATTGGTTACCACAAGAGCGAAAGTGCTACAGTAGTTGTCTATCCTTTTACCAGAAGATGGATACTGGACAGATTTATCCATGGTAAGTTGTTTTCATCTTTTTCACCTAGATCATATCGTATCCTAATAAATAAAGCCTTCCAACATGAGAGAAAGGTGCAATGTGTATTGATTTGTGTCTTTGCTGGAGCAGGATCAAAGGGAAAGCAGGTCAAATTGACATTTCAAGAAAAAATAAAGATAGCAATAGGAATTGGTCAAGGTATTCGATACATGCACGAAGGATGTCCTCGGGGCCCTATTGTTCATGGTGACTTGCGGCCATGCAATATTTTCCTGAATTTTGACTTAGAGCCACTGGTAAATATCCCAAAATCAGAGAAATCTTGTGAGATAAATGTTTTGGTTCTAAATTCATAGCCTCTGATTTCTTTTCTTTCTTCTCAACCACCTTTCCTTTTTTTTCATTTTTTTTTTCCTTCCCTGGTTGTATAGATCTTTGGATTTGGGAAATCTACATGGCTGCAGCTAAAACAAGCCTTACCAATTTCTAGTAACAGGTTTGCATTTACATGATTTACCAAGTCACTCAAATGTCAATTTTATCAAGTTTTCAGCGGCCATTTAATCGGCAGTGTTTGAAATTTTATTTAACTCAAAGAGGACATTTTTTTGTATGTTAAAAAGGTTATGGCACAAGGATCCTTCAGATCCTGAATCCTTGGCTCTGGTAAAATCCGACATCTTTCACTTTGGAATTCTGCTCTTAAGGTTGTTTTGTAGAAGATCTGCCCCGAAGGATGACAAAAAATTTTTTGATTGGGTTAGTGGGCAGTTTTTTTTTTCTTCTTCAAGTTCCCTTTTACAAGCACACATACACATATTACTATTACTTCTACACCTAAAAACACTATATTTTGTTTTTGTAGGTCCGACCATTGTTGGTAAAAGGAGCATACCATGAGTTGCTGGACGAAGGCATGGAGTACCTGGACATGTATGGAATATATATGGTGATGTGTGTTGCTGCTCAGTGCATAAAGACTAATCCGGTTTCAAGACCTAGTATAAGCGAGGTGATACTGCTGAATTAATTACCATGTCCGGCCTTTTCAACTTTGGAGACATAAAGGTCATGATTTTACTAAATTAAAATCTGATTTTCCAGGTAATTTCACTTCTTCAGGGAGAAACTTCATGTGCTGTGGAATTATCCCCATTGTCTGATTTTAGCCCAAATATGGACTTGAGCAGGTGCCTCAGTTAGTCGATTTCTGTGCAATTTATGCTCTCAGGGATGCCATTTTCAGCTTGGCCTAGGTACCAAAATAAGATGTGCAAAAATTAATGTCAACCGGAGTTGGCAAGTGGTTTGTAAAATTTATGAAAAATGTATAGAAGAATAGAAGCTATTTGGGTTCTGTAATTCTTTGACTGGCTAGCCAGAACAAACATTTTTAAACAAAAGTGTAACCATTTAATAGCTTTGCTTAATATTCTCTAAAAACTATGCCCTCTTCATCATGTCATCTTGCTGCTTTTTTGCTATCACTCATTGTCATGGCTTGAACACAAACAGTGCTGCACATCTAAAGATAAAGTCTAGATTGACTTCTATTAGTATTACAATTTCAAATTAGCTTTTGTGTGTCTCATGTGTACGAAAAAAAATTATTTGTGCATTCACTAGATGCTTGCCTCCATTACGGTCATTGTTCAATTTGAAGTTACAAATTCTGCTTAAAAATGAGATGGATACAAAGGCTTGGCAAATGTAAAGCACTCCTTCAAATTAGAACCATCCGGAACATAGTACCTTTAGGTTGTGTTTGTTTGGGGACAAGGCCATGGGATTGGACCATATATCTTTTGGTCTCAGATCCCGTGTTTGGTTACAAAATTGGACTTTTGGATTGACAAGTTTCCTTTAGCAGAAGTTAAAAACATATCTCCTTCTATTTTCTTGTAATCAATTTTTTTTAGTTTATTAAAATTATTTATATCACATAAGCTATACCAAACATTCTAATAGAGATTTCTTCCCAAAAAAAAAAAAAAAGAGTTATAAGCAATTTCATAAGACTGAAATACCCTCGAACACCATTGTGGCGTATTTCAAATGTGAGATATCCTAAGAAATTGGTGAGATTATGACTATTAATCATGGGAGTCCAACTAAACGAAGATGGCCTTAGGAACCACTTCCGTATTGGGTAGAAACTAGTGAGTTGGATTGGATCCACCCACTTAATTTATAATGGAAACCTCCTGGTAGTAAACATTGTAGCATGCACAGGGCATGAATTGACTTGAGGTTGCGTTGCTCGCTTAAAATCCAATGAAAGCTAGTGCTTCATATGAATCATATCATATCTAGTCAATTTTTGTTTTTTCCTATCAAGGTTGATTTTTCCTAGAATTTTTTTAGAATAATATGTTGTATGACTAAGATTTAATATTCAGATATAACAAATCATTTTAAAATTTTCAACATTAAATCTCAACAATACAATTCAATAAATTAGAGTTTGCACTTGTTTTGGTGGAGGAATAGTAAGACTTTGGTTCCGTGACGACTCCATTGGGGACCAACTCTTTCTACATAAGATAATTTGCAATTGCCATTCCATCCTCTCCACACCATGTGCATCACACATATGCTTTAGTGCTTCCTTTAGAGAGGGAGGGGTATATTCTTGCTGTTGTAGCTGCTGTTGACTAGTTGAGATTTATTGGAAGAAGATGACAAATGGGTTTATGTTCCTTTTTTAGGTGGAATCTTACTTAAACCTTTATTAGTCAACTGCAAGTGTCATTTCACACCCACTTTTCGTCCTTTATTGCATTTTCTTTTTGTTAATAGTAAACACACCATCTAGACCAGTGCAATGTAGGAATGGCAACAAAATATATAGGTCCCCTGCTTTTAATTTTACTAAAGTATTTGCACTTGGGTCATTTTATAATCCACAATAGCCCAGTGTATTGAGGTTTCTATTTGTACTTGAGTACCAACATTATGTTTTGTTAGAACACAAGGGCATATAATATGAGCTCACATGCTCAAAACCACTGCTTAATATTGTTTTTGGTGGTGCTCTTCATTATAACATTGACCGTGGTTCGTCAATATATATATTATTCATATTCTTATAATTTATTATGTCCTTTCGTATTATCTAATCACTTAATACAAAATCATAAGTCTTACATTCTCCATTATTTATAATATCTTGTCGTACTATAGGAGTAACCAATAACTTCTCGTAATTAGTGCTCTAATTGAAGCAAGAAAAACAAGGGTTTGGCTCCCCATTGTTGTTTGGGTCCCAAGTAAAGATTTCATTTTGATAATTAGAACGATATATTTATTTTTCATCATTAAATTCTACTTGAATATATTCTTACTAAGTGATGATATATAAATATAAATTTTATATAGAATTTCAAACACAATGATATATTTTAATGGTGACCTTTCACTTTAAAACAAAATACTCATAAACATAATTTATATTTACAACAATAATACTATCACAACATTTTTATGATATTTTTTTATATAAATTTTTATATATGAATATAATTTTTCATTTTTATTTCCACTATTATATATAAATTAGATCAATTTAATCTAAATATATTTAAAAAGTACAAAATTTGTATAATTTTTTTTTTAAAAAAAAAAATCATTGAATATAACAAAATAAGATAATATATTGAATTTATATATATATATATATATTTTATATTTGGTGAATTTAAAAAAAAATCAAAAAATATTATACTTCGTAAGTATATTTAGATTAGGTGTATCTAAAAAATAAAAAAAATATTAAAATATTAAAAAAAACACGAAAAATAAAGAAAATTCAATTTTTTTTGTGAGTTAAAAAAAATGATTCAATATATTTGGTTTCAGTTTTTTGAAAATTGAGTTTTTTTTAGTGAATATTTTAAAAATTTTAAGCATTTTTTTTTTCTTTTTTAGATGTACCTTACTTAGATATATCTAAATAGTAAAATATTTATGAAAAAATATTTTAAAAAATTAATATTATTCCAAGAAAATATATATATATATATATATATTGTCCTAACCTCTTTTGATTCTTGTGTATAATAGTTTCTAGAGGGGTTTAGAAGGTATTAGTATCAGTCAAAGGAAAATATTACCAGTCTTAAATTTTTTATCAAATAAATTATAAAATATCTTACATAATTGTGAGATTCACAAAATTGCAAAGCTTATATTTATATAAAATATTTATTCATTTATTTAATAAAAAATTGTAATATGCATTGCCCCAATCAAAAACCCAACTGTGGCGGTAGCATGCTGTCATTCGTCCAAATTGGTGCCAACGTGGCAACGTGTCGACATCTGTTGTTAACAATGGCGTACCATTCCCTTCACTCACTCCGATTACTGCAAAAACCTAACTGTGGCGGTAGCATGTTGTCATTCGTCCAAATTGGTGCCAACGTGGCAACGTGTCGACATCTGTTGTTAACAATGGCGTACCATTCCCTTCACTCACTCCGATTACTGCACCTTAAATCACGTGACCTGCCCGAAGAAACCAAACAAAACCACCTCACACATATGCTTATTTTGACAACATAATTTTTAGTCAAATTAGTAGTAAAAGTTAAAAGTTAATTTTTTTAGCTTTTTTTCATTTAGAAAGTTGGTTTTTAGCCAACGGTAAAATTACAATTTTACCCCTTATGGGTCAAAATGTGTTACATAGGTGAAATTGTAAATATTTTAATTAAATGGGATAGTTTAGTCATTTTATTATGATTTGAAATCATAAACAAATATTAATCAAAAAAGTCAAAAGTCAGTTTTTACCAACTTCTCAAATCATTTGTCTAAAAAAGTCAAAAACTTGGTTAAAAGCCAAAAAATCACTTTTTATCATCTTCTCAAAATAAGCCTATGGGCCCATTTTGGGATTAAAAATTAAAAATTAAATTTTAATTTATTTTGAGTCATATTATTTTTTATATAAAATAGTAAAAAAAAATTTAAAAATTTAAAAGTCAATTTTTAATTATCTTTTCAAAACATCTCAAAATTAGGTCAGTTTGGTTTAATTTTAAAATTATAATTTAAATATAAAGTTATGTTTTGAGTATTAAAATTTTAAATTATAATCTTAAAAAAGAAAATTTATTTAATTACCATAAATTTTGAAAAAAATTTTAAAATGATTTATCGTTTTTTTATTTTTTTGATTGATTGATATATAAAATAATAAAAAAAAGAGAGGAAAAAAAATAATTAATTAAATAATAATAATATAAAAAAAAGAGAAGAGAAGGGTTTTAAAAGTAATTTTAAATCATATTATAAAAATTTTGGGAGATTTACTAATAAATTCCAAAATATAAACTTATGAACCAATTGGTCCCATTTTTATTCTAGTAAACCGTTTAGTCCTAAAAAATTCTGAGGGACGTAATTACCCTCATTTAGACACCACTCATCTCTCTCAGCATTCTCTCTCTCACATGGAGACCCAGCCACACACATATCTTCTCTCTCTAGCAGACACAAGACACCATGCACACAAAACACCATTAACAGACACACCCAGCAGCTACACCCATACACACCATACACACAACACACACACACACACAAATACACACACACACAGAGCACACACCAAACTTAGCTTTGTCTTCTCTCTCTAAGACACACCCAGCGCATAACACACACACACACACTGATACACGCGCACACGCACACTGATGGCTTCAACACACACACACACACACACTTCTCTCAGCATTCTCTCTCTCTCACATGGAGACCCAGCCACACATATATCTTCTCTCTCTCGCAGACACAAGACACCATGCACACACACACACCCAGCAGCCACACTCATACATACAGCACACACACACCCAGCAGCAACACTCATACACACAACACACACACACAGAGCACACACCAAACCCAGCTCTATCTTCTCTCTCTATGACACACCCAGCGCATAACACACACACACACACACTGATGGCTTCAACACACACCCACACACTGATGGCTTCAACATCAGTGGTAGACATCATCAAACATCAGGGCCATGATCAACATCATTGCTGCGATGTTGATCATGGCGTTGATGTTGTAGACGATTGATCAACATTTGTTGATGTTGCGATGTTGATCATGGCGTTGATGTTGATCATGGCATTGTTGGAGAGAGAGCGAGAGATTTGGAACCAGAGAGATTGACGCCTTGGAGAGTTAGGGTTTCGATGGCGTCTTGGAGGGCTTCGGAGGTGTCCATGTCGAGACCATCGATGTTCTCTTTCACCATTTCGTCGAAGGCTTGTTGATAAGTTGGCCGATTTGTGTTCGATCGGAGGATCTGGAAATGCTGCCATCGCCATGAAAAACAGGGGGCTCGAATTGGTTTGTTCTGTTTGTTTGAAGCTTCGTGGTGATGACTAATGTTGGTGCTGATGATGATTATTAAATAAACAACATTACCAAAATAAAATGAGACTATAAGAAAGTTTTTAGGACTAAATGGTTCAACTTTTCAGAAAATAAGATTTATGGGTAAATTTTTCAAGATATATTTGATTAATATATTTTATCTAAATTATAATTTAAAATAAAATTGAATTTTGAAAAATAAATTAAAAATCATGATTTAAAACAGAGTGGACTATTAAAAAGTAAACAAAACGAAGATAAATTTTCATCTATAAATATCACACCACACAACAAACAACTGGCTTCTGTTATCATACCCTGTTCTTGTGGCCTTCCCTCAACTCCTCTATACTCTCTCAAACTTTTTCTTTCTTTCTCTGGATTCTTTCTTCAGTTCTTCCTTCAATCTATCGTTTCCTAACCCTAGTTTGTCCCTATATACAAGTATTTACATTTGTGTTTTTTGGTTCGAATCAATGAGCTTTCAATTCTGTCTCTTTGATTCTTTATTCAATGCTTAGTTCTTTGGCTTCTGCTCCTTCAATGTCAGGTACGACCTAGCTTTCGTATTTGGATTGTTTTTGTGTGTTCAAGATTTTTTTGAGTCTTTGATGTTGCTGCTTGTGTAAATTTCGCAGTTTCTGTGGAATGTGTAAACATATGCAATTTTTGGAAAGGGGACACTAGTGGTAGTAGAAGTAGATACGACTGTAGTGTTCTCTCTTGTGCGTGGAAGGCTCCTAGGGCTTTGACTGGGTTTCTTGCGAGTACTGCTCATCCTCACTGTTCAGCCTCCTCGCCGTATAGACGAACTCGGAGAAGGAATCGTATCAAATGTGTAAGTTCACTTTAATTCATTTAATGTTGTGTTCAAGAATAAGTTTCCAAATCTTTCACTTGTTAATTTTGTTCAAAGTGTCTTTAAAGCTGTCTTTGTTGTTGAATTTTGAAGTTTTCGTCTGTTGATGCTTCAAAGACAAATTAGGAGGAAATCTTTAAACTATATAAAAATATGTATGATCTTAGTAGGAATAATTGTGTCCCACGGAAGCTATTACTTATTTTTGGCTTCCATGTTTGGGGAAATTGGACTGAGTGTTGATGTAATTCAACTGTAGTAAACCTCTGAATAAATTTAGAGGAGTGAGATTTATATTATTATATGTTGATTTTCATCTGGTCAATAATAATTACATTATCGTAGTTTTGTTTCCGTTTTTCTTCTTATCATTATCACATATACTTCTCCCAAAAGAATTGAAGAAATAAAAAAATAAAAAAAGAAGAAAGAAAGAAAAAGAAAAAGAAAAAGAAAAAGAATATGGTTAAATTGATGAAAGTTTGTGGTGAAGTTAGAAATGTCTTAGTGTGTGGGAAGTGTCAGAGAAATTTATGTGAATAGAAAATTTTGTGGTAAATATAAAGCTAGTAGAAAAACTTCGGAGAAAGATTTGTAATGTGAGTCATCCGTATGAAGGAATGATTAATTATGCATAAAAACTTCAGAGAAAGATTTTTCATAAAACATTATTTCTTGTTCTGATTCCCATCCATATAGATTTGGGTTTTATTTTCCTTTAATATTAATTAATTGGTTTATGTTTAGAAACAATTTTCTATGCCTTGTTACTGATTGTGTTACCATTCAATCTTTACTGGTGCCAGAGATGTGAAGCATCTGATATGGGAGGCTGGCACTCCTCAGAATTTTCTGAGTTTGTAATTCCAGGAAGACTCTTAAGATCAAATCATGTTACTTGTAGAAAATGGCGATTGTGTTGTTCTTCAGCATCCTATGATGAGGTTTCTCCTGAAAGGTTGTGGGAGGTATGATAACTGTTGCTGTAGTAGTATTTCTATTGTTGTGATGACTTGTCTATTTGCAGAACAGGCATATGTCCTCTTGTATGGGTTACAACTTCATTCTTTCTTATGTGATTCTGTCATACTATAATATGTGGTGAGACTGTCATTTGAGAGACATATCCATATAAATTTGTATCAGGGTTCTATGTATTTTTTGTGAATGAAGATGATAGTATGCGTCAAGAGAGAGTTTGGAATCCATATAAAAATCTGCATTTTTAGGATGGTAGGATCAGAAGCCACAAACTAATTATGATATTTCATGCTGCTCAATGATTATTAGTGGGCTTGCCCATGCCGAAATTAAGTTCCAAGATAAATCGAGCACAAGTTACGCTGTTTCATTGGGGCGTTTGTTGGTAGAAATGATAGCATGAATAAAATTAAAAATTAATGAAAGATAATAAGGGACTGTTTGGGAAACCCAAGAACCAATGCTGCTTAGATTTTACCTGATTGCTTCAAGTCTACACAGAAGATAAGGGTGAAGACAAGCCAGCCTTTTCTGAAACCAACTTAATCATACGATTAAGATTGGTAGGAGCTGTCCTGAACCATTTATTGAGCTTCCCAGATTTTACTAACTCTGATTTGTGTTGAAGGCAGGGAAATCATCGGAATTTGATAGTTGTATAGTTTGGAGATCAGGAAGGAATACAGATAGATTGAATATGAGTAGTGGAGGTGTTATACTTACGTCAATTTCTTTTACTTTTTGATTGCCTCAGGATCTTAAACATACTATTTCATATCTTCCTCCTAAAGAGTTGGAACTGGTTTGTAATGCTCTAAACGTAAGTCCCCTGTACTGTTCTCCATATGCATTCTATGCTTCTTTTTCATCTGTTCATCTTTTTCTTAGATTTAACATGTTTTTATTTTTTTTGGTGGTGGATTTTACAGCTAGCTTTTGAGGCACATGATGGTCAAAAAAGACGGAGTGGAGAGCCCTTTATCATTCATCCCGTTGAAGTTGCTCAAATTCTAGGAGAGCTGGTGAGTGGTGCAAATTTCTAAAGCAGTTCTCTCTTTGAGGAAGTATTTAGTTTGGTCAACTATTTGACATTTTTTCTTCTTCTTTTTTTAAACAGCAACTTTGATTGACTACTAACTGTTTTTCTAGGAGTTGGATTGGGAGTCAATCGCTGCTGGTTTATTACATGATACAGTTGAGGATACAGATGTTACTTTTGAAAGAATAGAGAAGGAATTTGGTCCTGCGGTGCGCCACATTGTAGAAGGAGAGACTAAGGTTCCCTTTTTTTGTTCTCTATTTTTTAGATAATTCCTACTGGAACATGTGTTCTTTTGTTGTCCAATTTCAAGTTGGATTGGTTTCACTTTGCAGATGACATTTGTTGGTTTAATTCTCCTGTAATTTAGGTGTCCAAACTGGGAAAACTCAAGTGTAAGAATGAAAATCATTCAGTAGAAGATGTGAAAGCAGATGATCTACGGCAGATGTTTCTAGCCATGACTGAGGAGGTGACACTCTCATTTATATTTTTCAGCAACAATCATGTTAAATGTTGAAAGCCACTTGGCAACTAAAGCTGTTTTTTTTTTCCAGGTCCGTGTTATCATTGTCAAATTAGCTGACAGATTGCATAATATGCGCACTCTTTCACACATGCCTCCACATAAGCAGGTGGTAAATTTTGATTTCTTATTGACTGGGGTTATTAACATTTAGTTTCTATTATTCTTAACATTATTTATTGTGTCCAGTCCAGCATTGCAATGGAAACACTGCAAGTCTTTGCTCCTCTAGCAAAACTTCTAGGGATGTACCAAATTAAGGTATTCCCATCTGTTTCAGTTGATATTTTACCCCCATATATATGTGAATTCCAGCAACCATTATGTGTTTTGTTGCTGCCTAAAAACAATACATTGATGCTGAATCCAGATTTTTTGGTATAAATCTTCTCTATTAGTTCCTCTTGTCACTCCTTATTGATATTTCATTGACTTATGAAAATATTAAATAAAAAAAGTCCTTTTTCCCGCATTACTAAAGTTTAGGCTTACATTGGAATTTAAATATGCATAATGTATTTTTTTGTTTTCTTTGGTTCTTGGGTCAAAGATTTCATCCTTTAGTTATGTTTCCTCTGTGACCAAGCTAGCGTTAAGCTGAAGTTGAAACCCTGATTACTGTCTACTTTTGAAAATAACAATGCCAACTTGCTATGTTCTGTATGTGCTTCATGAGTTTTTCTATTTATATTATTGAAATCTGACATTGCTCCGTTGGGGTTGTGATGTATAACCTCACGTATTGACCTATATTTGAGGATGCATTAATGGTTGTGAATTCAGATTATATTAAAATGAATCTTCTGATGTTCCAGTTGGCCAGTGATCAGCCATATAAAGCCTTCCAAAATTGGAAACTGCCATATTAAACTGCTCCTGCTGTCTTATGATTAGCTGGTCTCTATCCTGTAGGCATATTTTGCTAAACTATACTGTACCTTCTTGCAGTCTGAACTTGAAAACTTATCCTTCATGTACACAAATGCTCAAGATTATGCTGAAGTCAAGAGAAGGGTTGCAGATCTCTATAAGGAACATGAGAAGGAACTCATACAGGTTTTTGTTTGGGTGAAAATTTTGGACAGAGCTCCAGAAATGAACAATCATACCTTTGTCCTTTATTTCATTACATGTCAAAAATATGATGAGCAGTCTTAAAGTTAATAGTTGCAGTAATATAAAGTCTTCAGGTTTATGCAACTCCCATATTGTTTTTAGAGGCTGGTCTACTTATCAAGCTCTTCTCATTGTATTAGGCACACAAAATTTTGATGAAGAAGATTGAGGATGATCAGTTCTTAGACCTTATGACTGTAAAAACTGAAGTTCAATCTGGATGTAAGGATCCTTACAGGTAATGCCATGATTATTCTTTTTCCTAATTAATTTTTTGGGGCTGAAGCTGTAGAGCTTACAACTATTATAGTTTATGATAACTTGCTTAGACTGCAAACTTGTTTTCAAATTCCCTTGTCATTTTGCGTAGCAGTTGGGGGAGACAAATAAAAAGTAACAAGTATTGAATAGATAGTAGGACCTATGCGTAAGGAGGCATGTGAATCTTTGTACCCTCTCCCCTTGGTGCAAAAATCTTGGTTAGACAACCATTGTATAAAATAAAGTAGTTATGAGAAAGTGGTAGGTACCATGAAGTATTTGTGGCAAAAAGATTACATACACCAGGAAGATGAGGGCTGAATTTTGTTTTCCCTCATACTTCAGGTGTGTTTAAATCTTCTATCAATCTAGTAATATTATGAATGGATGGTGAAGAAGAAGTTGATTGTGAGTTGGAACAAAGTCTAAACTGAATGTTAGTGTCACGACCCTAGCCTGCCCCTAGGGGTTCAGGCTGTGACCGGCCAGTAATCCTAGATTACCTTCAGCCTCAAAGTCAAATCAATCATAATATAACAATAGGGCTTAGCGAATGTAAAAGCATAAAAGAATAACATATCATTGAGCAGTGTATACATGCTGAAATCGTAAGTATTAAAGACCTTTAACTTCATACACAATATATCAAAGTCAAACTTCACACCCAACAACATACATCCAAGTTGCAAAATTAACAAAAGGACAAAAATAAAACAATAGTTGGGTTGACAACGCTTGACTCTTCTCGAGTTCAAGCTTGCCTCTTCACAGAGGCACTTTCCAAAAAGGCTTCAAGGGGTAGACACCGAGGCGGCCTTACACTTGACGTTCTGCTTGCTCACATACATATATATATATACAAGGGAGATGGGTGAGTTGGAGCCCAGTGAGTAATATCAGTATAAAGGTTTATACGAATGAAGTCCAACAATTACAATCATATATCCCATTTTCAAAACGATATAACAATATCAATAAATGATTCAATAGAATTCAATCATTTCAATCCCTTTCTTGCTATGAAGCACGGTCATGGACACAGACACGAGACACGACAATTTTAAAAAAATGGAGACACGGACACGGCTGGGGACACGGCAAAAATGTTTTTTTATAAATATTTTTATTTTAATACAAGTTAGTTATTTTATTGAATTATTATATTTTTAAATAAATGTGTTTCTATTAAATTTTTTTATTTTATTTCATCTACTTTTTTTTTTTTGATTAATATGTATAAGTATATATTATATATTATATAAGATATAAGATATGTTTTTTTTATTTATATTAAATAAATACATATATATATATATATATTATACATATTAATCAGCGAGAGCAAGAGAGAGTGAGCGAGAGAAGAGAGTGAGAGGGAAGGCGAGAGAGAGAGAGAGAGGCTTTCGGCGGTCAAAGTCGACTGGATGGAGGTCAAGGTTGACGGCTTACGGTGGTCGAAGTCAACTGGCTTACGATGGTCAAAGTCATGGAGGTCGACAAGCGAGTCGACTGGATCGAAGTCCAGGTTTGTCTCTTGACCTTTACTCTTTTCCTTTACTCCTCTTTTGCTCTGTGTCCAAATTTGGACACACGTGTCCAGATTTGGCGGACACGTGTGTCCTTGCCGTGTCCCTTGCAAAAAAATAATTAAATTAAAGGGACAAGCTACCCGGCGTGTCCTCGTGTCAGACACCGCCACGGCATGAAATCTGACGCGTCCATGCTTCATAGCTTTCTTGCAATAGCAATTAACAATCAATCAATTTACGTGGTACATCCAATAGAGTTCAATAAACAATGTGCTGAAGCCAATAGGGCCTCAACGGGTCAATCTAATGGGACCTCAACGGGTCAATCATTGAATTAACCAATTTTGGTTTCTAAAGTCGTTTGGGTCCTCAATTTCGAATTCTAAGTCGACAATTAAACAAATATCTCTCAAACAAACAGATAAGTATCAAATAAACACATAATTATGCGATTTATGCCCAATAAAATATTATTATGGAAAAATAGTACGAAGGTCAGGGTTGTTACAGTTAGACTAAGTGCAATGTGTCTGTTTATCATGAGAGGTTCATGTTTGCAAGTTCTGGTTTCCGGTTTTAAAGTTATACTTATTTACTGTTAATGGTGTGGTCTCCATGTGTTCCTGAAATTAGTTTCCTTGTAACCGTTTCCAACATGCCATGGACACGCTGCCACATGGCATGTCTATCTCTTAATTATTTTTTCTATTTTTTAATCATTTGGATCAATAGCTCAGAACTAAAATTAATGTGATAACCAGATGTTTTATGTTTAAATTGTTGGTTACAGATTTATGTAGCAAATGTTATTAATTCTGTTAATGTATTCTTTGGTGCTTTGTTGTAGACAATGTGTCGCATGATGTGCAATTGTTTATTTGCAGTATATACAAAGCTGTACTTAAATCTGAAGGTTCAATAAATGAAGTCAACCAAATTGCGCAGGTGTTCTATGACATAATCCTTGGAAACGATTTGTTGTAAATTTTGCATTTCTCATTTTCTTCATGACATACTTTCATTTATTTGGATTAACAGCTTCGGATCATTATAAAACCAAAGCCTTGCATTGGAGTTAGGCCTTTGTGCAATGCACAACAGGTAGATCCTTAAACATAGCCAACTAATTGGCTGTTGTTTTCTTCCTAGGACACATGTATTATGGTATACAACATAGCTTTCTCTCATAAATGTGCCTTTTGCAGGTCTGTTACCATGTTCTTGGGCTAGTGCATGGAATTTGGACCCCTATTCCTCGATTTGTGCGTGTCTTGCTCTTCCTATTTTTTCTTTTTGGATAAATGCTTCCAATTTTTTATTTTTTTTAATTCCTGCTTAGCTTTGTTTTTGTTAGTAGTTGATTATTGATTCTCTAGGCATGTTTTTGTAATAGATGAAAGATTATATTGCAACTCCAAAACCTAACGGTTATCAGAGTCTTCATACAACCGTAATTCCATTTCTTTATGAGAGCATGTTTCGGCTGGAAGTACAGGTCAGGCTTCGAATCTTTGTTCTTTTCCAATTCCTCTCATTTGACTGCTGCCTTAGGTGAAGTCTTTATTATTTGTCACTGTATGCATTCAGTGATTACATTTTTGGTACTTTGAAATATTTAATTTGGGTTACTTCCATTTTATGTTTTGGGTTTGTTTATGGTTGACACTTGACAGATTAGAACTGAAGAGATGGATCTGATAGCTGACAGAGGCATTGCCACACATTATTGTGGCAAAGGTTTTGTTACTGGTTTAGTAGGACATGCAATGCTTAATGATAGAAGTTCAAGAGGGAAACCAGTCTCTCTCAATAATGCTAACATTGCCCTCAGGGTAATTTACCTTATCCATGCACAAAGTGAATAGTCTTCCTTCAATGAATTTTGTGATAAAACTCCTGCAAATACCCTGACTTCATGGTAGAAGCCCGTTCTTCCCTCCAGATTGGTTGGCTTAATGCAATTAACGAATGGCAAGAGGAATTTGTTGGAAACATGAGTTCTAGAGAATTTGTAGACACTATCACCAGAGATCTTTTAGGTAGCCGTGTCTTCATATTTACACCAAAGGGAGAGGTAAGAGGATGGATTGCTTCACATACAAGAAAATTATGCTGCTGCAGCTGCTGCCTGATGTTATATCTCTTTCATATTGCACACAGATTAAAAATCTACCCAAGGGGGCAACTGTCATTGATTATGCTTATATGATACACACTGAAATTGGTAACAAAATGGTGGCTGCAAAGGTATTCCTCTTACCTTTTAACTGTGTTGTGCCGCTTTTGATGAGTTCACATCTCACTTTAGGATTTTTATCTGTTTGCAGGTTAATGGCAATCTTGTTTCTCCCTCGCACATACTTGCAAATGCTGAAGTTGTGGAGGTAATAACCTATAAGGTGAGTTTACATCAGTCTTTCCTTTTTTGCCTTTCTGTTGAATTGATATTTTGGCTCCTCTCTTCTTCCTATTCAAAAAAATTCACTTGGTTTCTTTATGATGATGTGGTTCTTCACAATCTGTTTTTCTTGTTCTTTTCTCCAAATCTTTATGAAATATGGGGTTTTCAAATCCACATGCAATGCTATAATTCTTGATTTACTCGGTATATTGTGCAAAATAACAAAGTTTAGATCACTCTGGAAAACCTTTCATAACTTTCAAACATCATGCACCCCTTATGAGTGGTAGGTCTAAACTGGAATTCTAAACATTTCTAAGATTACAGCAATTTGAGATCCTGATTATCATGAGCATTAGTAAGTACATAGATGTAAAATAAACTGATGTATTATTGATTGATATCTGATTGATGTGTTGCTATATTTACAATTCCTATATATAGAAGAAAATGTGGTAGTAGGTGTAGGAGTGAAGTGGAGGTGGTAGGTGGAGTGTGTGATAGTGGAGGTTGTAGGTGGAGATAAATTCTAACAGCCCCCCGCAAACTCAAGGAGGATAGAAACTAACCAACTTGAGTTTGGAGAGAGGAACAAAACAAGAAAATACATAAAAATAAAAAAAAAGATAGGAGACACTGTATGGTCGTGTCAGACCGTTGGTGAAGACACTGAAAGGTGGTGCCATAACGTGGTAGAGGACACTGGATGGGTGTGCCATAACGGTGTAGAGGACACTGGATGGTGGTGTCATAACGGTGTAGAGGACACGGTATGGTGGTGTCATAATGTGGTAGAGGACACTGTATGGTGGTGTCATAACGTTGTAGAGGACACTGTAAGGTGGTGTCATAACGTGGTAGAGGACACTGTATGGTGGTGTCATAACGTTGCACCCTCAAAAGGTGTGCCCAATCAATGTCGGGACAGTTTATAGGGTCATGTCGGACCGTAGTAAAAGTTGCACCCTCAAAAGGTGTGCCCAATTTTGTCAAAAGGCGTGCCATCAAAAGGCGTGCCCAATTCATCAAAAGGTGTGCCATCAAAAGGCGTGTCCCCTTTATCAAAAGATGTGCCATGAAAAGGCGTGCCAGTTTGTCGGGCGTCAAGAGGCGCGCGATGCGCGTGGCTGCCTTGGCTATATAACCAAGACGAAGGCAGAGGCTGAGGCAGAGAAAAACTGAGAGAAACCTCTGAAAAATCCTTCGTGTTGCTGAGAAAGAGAGTTCCTTGTGCTGAGAGAGATAGGCTGTAACACTTTGTTGCCCAGAAAATGGCCTCGTCTTCCCGTGGACTGCTCACCCTCTTTCCCGACCTCAACGAGTCAACAAGAGAGAGAACTGGAGCGGTGGCACTGGAACCTCAACCGAGTGCCCCGGAGTTTACTCCGCTGAACTTTCCGATGCGGTCTGTGGAGCAAAGAATGGCAGTGCAGTCGGATGTGGAAGCCAATCAGTATACATTAAAGTCATGTGTGGAAACCATGACTGCGGTTACAAACTTGTCGAACCGGCTGCAGAGTAGGGCAAATGAGGTGCATGGGGGAGGTCTCGACCTTCTATGTCCTGAAGTCAGTAGGTGCCCGGACGTGGTCGGGCTTTCACAACGTAAGGTCCCTTCGGTTTGAAGACCAAAGGAGAGATGTTATCGCAGGGAAATGGTGTTGCTAAGATGATACTTACTAATATTCCCACATTCTGAAGCGGAAGGCCACCGTGATGTTCCGATTTGGAGGGCCGCCATATGCTGCAGTGGAGGAGTATGGGGGAGTGAACGTGCTCGGCGGCGTGGAAAACACAGAGGCAGCACCGTCAAGAGCCGGCCAGGACGGGGGCAAGAAGAAAAGACCGGCGACGGAGTAGAGAAGAAAAAATCCCACTGGGGGTGTGGGTGTGGTTTGTTTGTTTGTTGGTTTGTTTTTTTTTTTTTTTTTTTTTTTATAATTCTTGATTTACTCGGTATATTGTGCAAAATAACAAAGTTTAGATCACTCTGGAAAACCTTTCATAACTTTCAAACATCATGCACCCCTTATGAGTGGTAGGTCTAAACTGGAATTCTAAACATTTCTAAGATTACAGCAATTTGAGATCCTGATTATCATGAGCATTAGTAAGTACATAGACTTGTTTGTCTTGACACATTTGTAGTGTGATATATTTGCCCTGTCACGGTTGTTTGTTGCTGTTGAGCTATTAGTCCACCATCCATATATTGTGTTCTCTTGAGTAACTTGCAGTTATACGATTGTTTACTGGTTTATCCACTGTTTTACCTGGTTGATTTCCAGGGACTCTCAAACAAATCAGCATTCCAGAGACATAAGCAGTGGTTGCAACATGCAAAAACACGCAGTGCCAAACACAAAATTATGAAAGTGGGTTTTTCTGTGGTGTAGAATTTTGGATGGTGCTTTAGATATCCTTTGTCTCTGCTCTATTAATCTAAGTTTCATGTTGTGTTCAGTGTTTGAGAGAGCAAGCTGCATTATTGGGGACTGAATTAACAACTGAGACAGTAAATGAAGACGATAGTGAAATAGAAGAGTGCTCAGATTATTCTAAAGGAAACAAACACACCTGGGAGAAGATCCTCAAGAATGTTATGGAAATGTCATCTTCAAAGATAAATGGCAACGATATTTTCCAACTCCAACATGGTAGCATCCAGGTCCCCAAGGTCAATGGGAAACATAACAAGAATATGCAGGATATGGGTTTGAAGACCAAAGGAGAGATGTTATCGCAGGGAAATGGTGTTGCTAAGATGATACTTACTAATATTCCCACATTCAATGAAGTTTTGCCTGGTCTGCAGAGCTGGCATGCTGGCAAGGTTGCATCTTGGCACAACCTTGAAGGGCACTCTATCCAGTGGTTCTGTGTAGTATGTATGGATCAAAGAGGTATTTCCTTTGTCCCTTTCAATAACAAATTTTTTCTTAGTCGTCCAACATTTGATACTAAACATCATTTCAGGTTTTATAGCACTTCTATAAAATTATCACACAACACTCCTTATGCAGTAATCCATTTCATTCAGTTTTCTTTAATTCTATCTTCATTTTATTTCTAGTTTTGTAATGCTCCATATTCTATCTTTCTACTTAACCTAAACCCTTTAAATTCTAAAGTATCACTCCACAATTCTAGCTTAAAGTTTACAAACCATGTAATCTCCCTACATGGTCATTAATCCATTCAAATCCTTCCATAATTGTCATTTATTATATAGATTTATCATATCTATCACTACTTCTCCCTACATGGCCATTATGATCCACTGCCTATTTAAGCACTATCGTTTAATAGAGTATTACATTATTCTATTTTACATCTAGATAGCTGTGTGGATACACAGCAGCTTTATCTAGTAATTGTAATCCAGATTCAAGTGCATAAATGAATTTCAGGTATGATGGCTGATATCACAACAGTATTGGCAGACGTAGGTGTTACGATATGTGCTTGTGCGGTAAGTAGTTGAAACAGATAAATAAATAATTAAAAACGATGTGGCTGTACTTGTTTATTACTGGGGAGCTTCTTCGTGCAGTGTCCATGACAAACCCTATTTTCTTGGCAGGCAGAGATGGATAGAGGAAGAGGTATAGCAGTCATGTTATTTCATGTTGAAGGAAGTCTAGACAGTTTGGTACGTGTGACAATCATGTATGTCTGAAACCTTTCTTATATCTGCTTTGTTTTTTATTGGAAAGTTGTTGCTTTATCCTTCAGGTTAGTGCCTGTTCACGGTTGGATCTAATCTTTGGTGTTTTGGGATGGTCCACGGGATGCAGCTGGCCTAGCTTGATTGAAAACCAACAGTTTCTAGAATGCTAATCATTTAGTGCTTCTGGCAACTGAGTCAGTCAATAACCCTGCTAGTGGAGGCTTGGGTTGAAGTTTTGTTGTCTGAAAAATACATACGTCTGGGTTTGAATTAGATTTTTAGCTACTAGTTCCATTAAGTTTCTCAACTATTTGTTGGGAAAGTAATGAAATAAATAAGCACAGCCCAATTTGAGCACGTCTCTGGAGTGAGGGAGGGGATTGTATACAGAGAGATGCGTAAAGAGTGAAGTATACATGTAAAGATACTTGCAAGAAGATAAGAGTAAAGCATTTTTATCCGAAAGGTTTACATAACTTATCTGCATGTACGCTCTTTCTGTCCTTTTTCTTTGGATAAATTACACTAACCTCACTTATAGTTTGAAGAAATGACATTGGGCTCCACAAGTTTGTCATAATTACATTAGACCCATAAAGTTTTTAATTCATATAACTTCAGCACTTTTTTCATCCATGGATGGATTAATGATGCTATCTCATTTTACACTAGAATGTATATTTTACTCTTAGTTATTCATGTCTACGTACTATTTGCATTACTTCTACGCAATTTAGTATTACTAAAAGGGAAGTAGGTGTAATTATGTCAAACTTCTTGGCTTTTAAGGGCTTGTTTGAGAATTGGTTTCATTAGTTGGATTTTTTATTTTTTACGAAAAGATGTGCAAAAAAGTAAAAAAAGTGATATGATAATTTGTAGTGACTTTTTAGCTATTTTAACCTATTGACAAACAAGGCATAAACCTCATGTGTGGCCATTGTAAGTTACCCTTTTTTCTTTATTCTAAATGAGAAGGTGAAAGTGGTGTTTCTTTGTAATGGGTTGAATAGAGCAATTAGGAAGCAATGGTGTAACCACATGACATGCTTGTGCACCATGCCCAATATTAGGGCAACAAATATCTTCATTGGCAGTAAAAGGGCTAGAGAAAGTTCGGTGGTAGTTGTGCTTAAATTTGTCAAGTAGGCAAGACTTTTCCTTCCCATGATACGGCAAAACCACAAAAAAATAAAATAAAATAAAATAATGACAAGTTTTAGGTAGCTATTAAAATAACTATTAAGTTTGTAAAGTGCAGTCTCTGCCTCTGATAAAGGACCAAGGGAGGAAGCTTGGTGTTTGGTTTTGCAAATGAATCTGTTTGAATACAATGGAAGATTTGAAACGTAAATTGCAGCTTTATAAAGCCATCAATTTATGTCAATGAAACTACTTCATTTGAGTTATGCTCTACTAATGTGGTAGGGTGCCAACCTCCATCCTGATGTATAATCCTATTGTTTAGTCGGCATCGAGTATCAAATCAATAGGATTAAATCCTTGATTTATCTTTACCCCTTTTTTTTTTTTATTTATTTATAATTTTTATGCCCTACCCACATTGTTAGCTACTGCTTACATTGCGTGGTCTGGGAAGGATACGATTTTACTCATATGTGGAGAGAGAGCGATGCATAAATAAACATGAATATATTCATGCCACAAAATTTAAGCAAGCACCGAAATATGAGCCGATACTAAGCAATTTATGATACCAGCATGGAAAGTAGAAACATTTGAAATTATTACCATCTCTTTATTCTGAACACTTCAACTAAAGTTATGGTAGTTTTTCAAACTTGGGACAGAATCACAACTAAGAAGATTATGAGACAAAGCTTCAGAATATTGGCAGGTGAAAGTAGCAGTGGCATTACCAACAGCAGCAGCACCAACAGCACAGATATCCAAATTCTTGTGTTTGATGCGCCTGTCGATAGTTTAATACGCGCCAGAAGTTCCTTTATACTCCCCTTGCTTGCTGTCACGATTGATTTTCCTGTTTCTTCATTCTTATGGTGGCCATTGACATAAATATTACCCTCATCTGCGATACTGTTGCTGTAGCAACCATGGTCTTCTGCTTCGTCAATCTTGTCAGCTAATGTCTTGCTAATGATCTTCAATTCTTTGAATTCAAGTGATAATTCCTGTATTGACTCTGCCGGCCATATTGCCTCAGCATTGGATTCCATGGATGAGTCTCCTGTTCCGTCTGAGCTCTCTTCACCTTTCTCTACAATTTCTTCCTCGTCCTCATCCTCATCAACATCCATTTCATCATCATCTTCATCCTCATCCTCATCCTCATCCTCATCCTCATCTTCGCTCAGTACTGTCACTTGTAGCTCATCTTGATCAACTGCAACCTGATTTGTCGGAACCACTGTCTCAATTGCTTCATCTTTTTCTACAGCAATTCCTCCATCATCATTTTCTTGTTCTTCTTCAATCAATTGCATCTTTGGGTTGCACTCTTCTTCAATATGAACTGCATCAGTTGCCTCATTTGCCGCCTCCTCTTTCGTAACTTTGATTGCTTCTTGATCAACTTCGACTTCAAACTGATCCTTCTCAGCTGTTTCAATTGTTTCTTCACCTTTCTCAATAACAGTTTCAATCAATTGGGTATGTCTATTGTCCACTTCCTCAATCTGACCCACATGAGGTGCCTCAACTGCCTTGTCCTCCCATATAACTTCAGAGACTATCGAGTCACCTTCCATAACTACTACTTCACCAATCTCTATAGTATTTTCTACATCGTCATGTTCTTCCACTTCTCCTCCTCCCCCTTTCTCAATCAATTCCATTGGCAGGTTGTCTTCTTCTACGTCCACTGTGTCCCCTATATGCTCATTTTTGTTCATGTTTCTGGATTTGAGAAGTGAAGGTCCGTCCAACACTGGCAATGAGTACTCTTTCACATTGACATTGACACCATAATCAGTGATCAAGAGACTGTTTTTTGGCTTTGAATTATCAGATAAAAGAATTTCCAAATAGGTGGGGCTCTTGGTTGGGCCACTGATATCACGCACTGAGTTGTCATCCTGAATCAAAATACCACAATATCAGTACTCAAATTCATTGAAGGAGATTGATGCCTTAGGGTCTAGTAAATTTGTTTCACCACATTCAAGGCTTCTTGATCATTTAGAGAATTAGGATTAAAAAAAATAAAAGTATCAATGGTCTAGAAATTTAAGAAACTAATTACCAAGATGGAAGTTTTTGTGAAGTCTGACGATGTGGAATCAATCTGGGTAACAGGCGTTTCTGTTGTTCCGTCAGTACTGCCATTGAAAAAATGAACAATACAACACAATTTCAATTTGATTTATTCCCAATACATTCCCAAATGAAAAGACTAAATGTTTAGGCTCAAACCTTGGATGGTAATCTATAGGTGGAGAATAATCTTGAAGAAGAACATGAAGGCCTTTTCCTTGATCATCATCATTGTTCTCCTTCTTCTTCTTCAATTCCAACTTGTCTGGTAGATCAGCAATGGGTTCAGCTTCAGACTGTGATGAACTTGTTAGTTTTGGTGGTGGTGGTGGATTGTGGCTTTTGTTTGTGGGTCTTTTCCTCAATCTGATTGCTGAAACCGATAAGAATGTTGCAGCCGCCACTACTCCACCCCACAAAACAACTCCTCCAACAACACCACCACCACCACCACCGCCTACTCGGATCGCCGGCTTATGCTTTTCTTGCTTCTTGGGTTTCTCCATATTCTCTACTGTATTATTGATCTCCAATTTCTCTGGGTCTCTTGAGGGTTTTGGATTTGGTGCGTTTCTCAATGCATTTTTTGTTTTTGTTTATGTTCCGCTAATGGAGTGAGAGAGAGAGAGAGAGAGAGAGAGAGAGAGGGGGTTTGACTTGTAAACAGAGTGAGTGTGGATCGGTCTCGGAGGTTGAAGCGGACATCTCGTGTTATTAGTCTTTTGATTTTGTTTGTTTTTGTTTACTTCAACCAACAAACTCGCGTTTCGTGCCAGAGGTGTGTGTAGCTGTGTGGCTGTGATACACACGCGTATGTACACAATCAAAGATTCTCTTTAGTTGTCCCCCCTGTGGAACCCTTTTATATGGTAACAGCCCCATTTTGGACTCTTAGCCTGTGTTTGGCAAGTGGATTTATAGGTTTTTTTTGATTATTTTAGTTACAAAAAATAAAATAAATTATTTTAGTCATAACAAACAAAATATCACATCTAATCCATAATCATTACATTCTTTTCTTACAAAAAAAACTCAAAAAAGTCAAAAAGTCCTTCCCAAACCAAGCTTTTAAGCCCAGGCTAAAATAGCTAAAAAAGTCAAAAAGTCAAAAAGCCAACCCACTTCCCAAACGGAGGCTTAATATTTGAAAAAAAATTAAAATAGATACACCTTGGTGGATGTTCAGACTACATTAAAAAAGATTGTAAACTTACCAATTAGTAACAAAACATGTTTAAATTTGACTTAGTTTAACTCTTGAATTGATCTTGAATAAGATTTAATTGAGTCGATAACCAGTCAAATTCGAATATTTTCAACTTTAATGTATGAAATAATAAAATATAACTTTTTAATTTTTTTTAGTATTTTCTTTTACTAAAACTGCAACTTGCAAATCTCGAAACATAATGGTGTAGGGATGGCAATGAATAACCTATCATGTGGGTATTTATAGAGACTCAACCAAAATACATGGATTTTTTCCTCTTTTTCTTATTCATTGGGTAGGGTAAGTGATATTCTTTAAATATCCACAGGGGATGGGTTGGGGATGGGTACCCACTAATTTCTCCATATGTTTTTTTTTTTTTTTTTTTTTTTTTATTTTTTTAAGATTCACAACCAAAACTAAATATACATTCAATCTTTTTTCTTTTTATTTATTTATTTATTTTTTCAGGTTCACAACCAAATTTTTTTTTTTTTTTTTTTAAGATCCACAACCAAAGCTAAATATATACCTCCAATCTTTTTTTATTTTTATTTTTAAGGTTCACAACCATTTTTTTTTAATTTTTAAGATTCACAACCAAAGCTAAATATACATTGAATCTTTTTTGTTTTGTTTTTATTTTTTTAAGGTTCACAACTAATTTTTTTATTTTTTTAAGATTCACAACCAAAGCTAAATATACATTCAATCTTATTTTATTTTATTTGGCTCAACAATAAAATCAAATACACATTAATTAACATTGTCACATTATTCTTGTCAAATTTTATGCATATCTAGAATTTTTTAAATTTATTTAAAAAAAATTAAGGACATTGTCTAGTGTAGGTTTCGGTTTGCTTTTCTATGTTATTTTATTTTGTTGTGTATTGTAATTTTCAGAATGGTTTGCTTGTTCTGAAATTTCAATTAACGAGTATGAATCTATTTGTTTTATGTTATCACACAATTTATACAACATATATATATATATATATATTGAAAATAAGGAAATTGTAGAGAATCAAAACAAGCATGAGTCATGATTGGTTAGAAAGCATGGGTACAAAGATTTATTTGCTAGAAAAACAAAAAGGGGATACAAAGTCATACTAAATAATTTTTTTTAAATTAAAAGAATTTTTCTTAGTTATGAACAGATTTAACTGAAATCAGCTTGTTTCCCAATGTTATGCTTCATTTATTTAGATAGAAAATATTTTTTAATGAAAAATATTTTTTATAAAAAAAATTAAAAATATATTTTTTTATATTTGGTGGTGGTGGTGATGGAACGAAGGTGAAAGTAGAGATTGTTACATAGTTGTGGGGTGATGACGGCAGTGATGATGATAGTGGCTATGGTGATGGTAGCGTGACAGTGAAAGTGAGAATAGTGGTGATGGTGTTGTGAAATTAGTAAAAATTTAATTGAAAAAACATTTTTCATTTTTTAAAAGTAACAAACAACAAAATTCGTTGGGGACTAAAGGAAGAAGATGGATGATTGATTGGGTGTGGTAATGCATAGATATCTTAAAATGAGTGGTTCAGATTTGTTAAAGGTATAATTAGATTTTGGATAAATTAAAATGAGTAGTTCAAATTTGCTAAGAGAAAGATGGTTTAATGTCTAAAATGTCCGTGGCTAAGAGATCAACAAACAATTCCTTATTTATGCCCTTGATGCAATTTAATATGAGTCTTATAACACTTTCTTCAAACAGGTTCTTTCACATTTTATTTCTTCAAACAGACTCTTATAACATTGTAATCAGGTTCTTATAATATGTAGGGGAGAGAGTGAGAGTGAGAGAGAGAGGTGATTGTAATTTTTTTTTAATCTTCCACGTTCTTCCACATTTTTTTTTCAATTACTAAAACTTATTTGATTGTTTCAAAATTATATATTTGATTATTATAAAACAAACTTTTTAATTAATTAATTAATGTGTATTTGATTTTGTTGTTGAACCAAATAAAATAAAATAAGATTGAATGTATATTTAGCTTTTGTTGTGAACCTTAAAAAAATAAAAAATAAAATAAAAAAATAAGTTGTTAACATTAAATATATTAAAAAAGAAAGAAAAAAGACTGAAGGTATATTTAGCTAAAACCTTTATAAAAAAAAAAGAAAAAAAAGAAGGTTGTTAACATTAAATATATTAAAAAAGAAAGAAAAAAGATTGAAGGTATATTTAACTTTTGTTGTGAACCTTAAAAAAAATTTGTTAACATTAAATATATTAAAAAAAAAGAAAAAAGATTGAAGGTATATTTAGTTTTTGTTGTGAACCTTAAAAAAAAAAAATGGTTGTTAACATTAAATATAAAAAATAAAAATAGAAATTAAAGTGGATTGGAGAAAGTCCATACCCATTAAAAAATGAGAGGGTGATACCCATGAGGAATGAAGAATGGGGAATGAAAAAAATTTATTATAAAAAAATGAAGATGAAAAATTAATATCCACCTCATTGCTATCATTGCCATTCCTATAATGGTGCGCCATGAATTGCCTTGAAAGGATGGGAGAAGAATTTTGGGATAAAAAATCCAATGCCGGCCAAGTGTGTGCTTGCTCTGAGTTTGGAATCTTCAGGATACTACTTCTGTTTAGATGCTCCTACTTTGTTTCTTGTTTTTCTTTTTCTCGTGATTCATGTTTCTTTTTCTTCTCTTTTGATTGATTTATAAAAAAAAAATTAAAAAATAATAATATTCAGATAAAAGAAGAAGACGAAGTCTGATTACAAAACCCGAAAGATAAAACTCTCTCTATCATACAATTACTTCAACATACAAGTCATGGGCCCAACAATACAAAATCCTTAGGATCTCAAAAATCAAAACAATATCTATAAATCAAATGCTCTATAATGTCATCACAACAACTCCAATTTTTTTTATAAATAAATAATCAAATAATTTACCATTACAAGAAAGCAACACTGCATGACCTCAAAACTTATTGGTAGAACATCACTCACTAGAAATCCCCAAATGGAACCCCTTCCCTTCCTGCCTCCCCTGTTAGGGAAAATATGTGATTCCCCACAAGTAAATCAATCAATGAGAATAAAAATTAATGCCGAAAAATTAAATTAAGGGCAACACAATAATTTTTACGTGGTTCCCTCAATGTGAGGTACGTCCACGGGATTGAAATCCGATTAACTATCAACCAAATAAGTTCCAAACGATTACAAACGAGACACAAATAGTTTCACAAACCATCCTTAGGTGAATTCTAAATAATCACAAATAAACAAAGAGAAAAGACCTCACCAAATAAATGAACCAAAATCTTCAAAACCAAAGTTGAAGAAGATCCAAAATAACAACCCAAATTAACACCTTCTGCATGCCGAAGTTGTCAAAGCAGTGCTTGAAACAACCCACTGACTTGAATTAATATCAAACCAATTGTTGCTACACAAAGCAAAGTCCACCGAATTGCTTGGTCAACTCAAGCACTATCACACCAACTAAAGTGTATTCTGGTGCAGCCCTCTTAATGCATCCGATGAACATAATATATACATATATATATTGTGAATCTAGGTTTTTATCAAAACCTTAGTTGTTTTTAAATTGGATTGGGTCTCCACAAATTAAATATAATATATAAAAATATATTATAACTAATACCAAACTAATACCAAACTAAATCAAACTCTTTTAATATACCAATTTGGGTCCCACACTCCATTAAGGAGGTATACCCAACAATTCTCTCCCCTATCGACTTAGGTGGAGAAATCAATCATACCCGCCAAAGTTCGACATTTTAAATGTTTGTCCCTCGACAAAGTCTTTGTCAACATATCCGAAATATTATCATCCGTGTGAACCTTTTCGAGTTGCAACAATTTCGAATCTAACACATCACGAATTCAATGGTATCTCACATCAATGTGTTTTGATCTCGAATGAAAAGTAGAATTTTTACTCAAGTGAATAGCACTTTGACTATCACGATAAAGCACATACTTTTCTTGCTTCAAACCCAACTCTTGTAAAAATTTCTTCAACCATAACTCTTCTTTACAAGCTTCCGCAATGGCAATAAATTCAGTTTCGGTAGTTAAGAGAGCAACACATTTTTGTAATTTAGATTGCCATGCCACAGCTCCCCCTGTAAAATTCATCAAATACCCTGAAGTAGATTTCCTAGAATCAACATCACCAGCCATGTCAGAATCTGTGAACCCATCAAGCATCGGTTTACCATCCCCAAAACACAAACACACCTTCGAAGTCCCTCGAAGATACCTTAGAATCCATTTTACCGCTGCTCAATGTTCTTTACCCAAATTAGAGAGAAAATGACTCACCACACCAACAGCGTGAGCAATATCCGGCATTGTACAAACCATGGCGTACATCAAAGAATCAACTGCTGAAGCATAAGGAACTTTCAACATCTCTTCTTTGTCTTTCTCACTTGTAGGACATTGATTCGAACTAAG